TATCAACCTAAGAAATTGGCATATTGACTGGAAAAGTTTGGGTGGTCTGATGTTACGCCCCTATATTAAAGTTTCTTAAGGACTATATTTTTTATTCAATTTAAAATGTTATGGAAGTTTTTAGGCACCTACTTATTATTTTTTGCATACACAATGCTTGTGTGGCACGTTTTTATTTCGATTAGAAAATCGCAAACAAAAATAGCACCACGGTGAATCATCGCAGTCATGTATCCTCATTAACAATGGAAATGATAATTTTACAGTTAATAAATATGATGGTGGTGGTTTTTAATGCAGCGAAAGCCTAATTGGAATCGCATTACCTAGATTTGATTGTTGGCCACGTTATCGCAATTAATTGAATTCAATTCAAAACATTCGATGCATTAAGGCTTCTTGGAAAAGCAATAAATAAATAGTTTCGACTAGGAATGGCTATTATTTGGCCTTGAGGGGAAATTATATCAATTACATGACAAGCTAATATTCGTTCATCAAAGTTTGATTTGATTTAAATAGGAATGGATGTCATTTTAAACGTCTAAATATAGAAGAACAATATCCACTTAATTTATTTATTAAAAATATTGTATTGATAACGTACAAAAAAGATAGAAATGGAATAAAATTAAAACTCTGGTCTTTTATTAAATTACAGCCATAGAATAAAAATATTATTAATTCGGTAACCATTTAAACCTTTTTTTTAAGCATCTATAACGAAGTGTGGTTTTTACTTGACGATTATGCAGTGCCTAAAATATGAGAAACTGTAGACAGCCTGTTTCGCTCTTTTGGACCTTATCAGTGCCGGGTAGTATATTATATATCAAGTTTGATAGATCCCATTTTAGACAAAAATTTAATCTAATTAAATAATTAATACTGTCTGTCCACTCTAAGTTGGCTGAACTAAGGAATTTTGTTGTTTAGATATTAATGAATTGTCGTTCTGTGTGCTTTACTGTACTTAATATTATCTAAATCTTATCTGATTTAAATTAAATATTTGTATAAAGCGACATCTATACAAAAAAAATTAACCATCATAATAAACATTTTTGACGTAATTTTAATTGCCCAAACTATGATTACCTATGTTAAAAAAATATTTTATTCTTTGATTTTTTTATACTGTAATTGCAAAATATTATCACAAAGTATTAAACATTCTTACACGGGAAATTTTAAAGGTACAAAAAGTGACAGTTGTATTTATTGGAATTCCCGTTAGACTTTCTAACATAAAATCTCAAATTTTTTTGTTTAAATCAAAATTTATTCCTTGAAAATGGACTAACAATCGATATAAAAGCAGTTTTTACAGTAAAAGAGAAGAGAATGTTTAATGGGCACTGTACGCAAAATTTGTAACGCTTTGTTAACTGCATTAAACCATCACCAGCCCGTGACTAAAAACCTGTTGCTTACTTCAGCCCGTGACTAAAACGCCATAAAGCCACAATTTGTTAATATGTATTTAAAAGGTCACTTAGTGTCATGGAAACATGGACGATAATGGGCGTTTTAAAGGTTGGATGAGAAAAAAAATCTTATCTTTTAATATTAATACCCTAAAATTTATAATACCTATATATTAGTCATTCCACCAAATAAATGTTTTTGAATTTTTTATATAAAAAAACATTATTTACATAAATTTAAAAAAATAACGAAAAAGTAAAAAAAAAATTCGCCAAAATTCGAAAAAACATACCAACTACTTAATTTTGGGAGCTCAAATCTTCAGTGAGACATTATTTTGATGTAAAGAATAACTCCACAAAGTTCAAAAAACCTGTGGGGGTCACACACCAACAAAAAAAAATTGGTGGAATGACCCATATATTTGGGTAATTTCACCAAATATCCGGAGAAGTTGTACCGGGGGTCAGAAAAGTAAATAGCACTGCCCGTTCGGTATATTTTTGTATGTAAAAAAGACTAATTTTTTCAACAAGAATATTATCAAATTTAAAAAAAATTGGGCAAACTGAGAAAAGTTGTTTTGAATACTTTAATCTCGTTTTTTGGGTTAAACAACTGGCCGACTCTACTTAGTCCGTCGACCCCAACCGCTTACAAGTTGGGTAGATCATGGTTTAAACGAATTCAGTGTCGTGCCAAATAAATGCCTTAGAATTAATTAATTTGCATAATTTTTTTATTTAAAAACAGTAGAACTAATGCAATAAAAATAGAAGAAGAATTTTTTTACTTTGGCGTATTGGTGTATTTTTGAATTACAAGTTTCAGGAATTAAATAATATTATTTCCGGTAAACATTCCAAAAAAAAATTAAACCGCATAAAATTGGGAAACGCTTCATAAATTATTTAACTAAGAAACTGTACTACAAAAAGTTTAGTGTTAGTGTTTAGATCTTTTTGGCCAAAAGATCTTTACAATACTTCGTGCATATAAAAATTATGAACCAAACATTTTATTGAGTCACCATTTTAAAGTTAAATAAACAAGTTTTATTTAAATATTTATAAGCATAAACCATGTGTCATAGGAATATAAAAGCGTCTCATCTTTTATTCTATGTAAATTTACATTTTGATGCCCAGATAACAAAGTTATAATTAAAAGTACTTAGCATCCACCTACTACTCCACTAGGTATCTATAACCGAGGAATCCAAAAAGCAAATATGCGCGTACAAGGTACCAACCTTTTCGCAATAAATTCCACCGTTAATGTTTGAAGATACAATAAATATTTGTATCGAGATACGCCACGTCGAATGTAAATAAGCAAACACGTTTTATAAGGAACATAAAACGTTGATATACGTGCCATTAATTTTTTTTACAGTCTGTCTGATTTTGCCAATAGAAAAACATTGATGCCGTATATGGCGCGGAACACCCTGTATCTGATTTTAGAAAAATGCGGAGCAATAAAGTGGAGCCTGTGTCATATTTTATTCAGTCATTTATGAGTCTGTTGTACAACATTTTTTCAATAGTAAAACTATTATTTTGAAAAAAATTAGATTTGTAAATAAATGTTATATTTTTGTGTCCAACCAAAATTATCAATCTGTCATTCTCGTTTAGAAGATTCGGCAACACTGGATTACGAACACGTGATTATCTAGGGATATTTGGTTTGATATATTTGGTGGCTACCATAATTAAGTTTTTAAAACAAATTATTCAAAAGAACACAATTGTATTAAGTTATTTATGTTTTAAAAATAATTAGGCAATCCTTCTACCTTCTATGGGTTTCTTCACTTTCTTCTGCTCTTCTCTTTAGACTTTCGGTGCATTCAACATACTCCATGTTTTATGTTGCTATATTTTTTGTTCTCATACCTTTTCTTAAATAATTTTGTCTTTGCAGTGGACTTAATTCGTTTCACAACTCATTTTTGGATTTTAAATAACACTGCATATAGAACTGTCACTACCACTGTCAAAAGCAAAAAACGTTACCATAGAAACCAAGAATCAAAAACTCGCAATGTTGTCGCGTTTGAATTACATTTTTTACGTTTTTTAATTCACGTTCTTGTATATATATATATACAGGGTGTTTCACATTCGGGGTCCATCAGCAGTTTCTGGGGGTTTTGAAATGCCACTTGCGGTTTAGCTGGAAGTGAGATCAACTACGTTATTTCAAATAGAACACCCCATATATTTTTACATTTTTAAATTCTGTATAAAATTCTGAGTAAAATTACTATATCCTATACCTAGAGTAAATAGTTTTTGAGTTATTAGTTTTTTTTCGTTAAAATTTGACAAATGCGCGTCTGTCATAAATAGCCTATAACTTTTTTGTTATTGGGGTTGCGGTAATGTCTGTGGAGTTTTTGGAATCTTAAATCATTGTTTAAAAGAGACTTTTTTAGTTCAAATGTAACACCCGGTATGTTTTTACATAATCAAATAGTAAATTAAAAAACCTTTCGACTGATGTTACTATTCCCTATACCTTAAGTTAAAAATTTTGGAGAAATTTAACAATTTCTAAAATTATAAATATTATTTTGTATCAAGAAACCTTTAACGGGTGAGTTGACGGCAGGGTTACCAGATTCTGTCAAAAATCGGGACATTTTGTATGAATTTATCTTAATTACAAAATTGACATTGACAATGCAAATTGTAAGTTTGACGTTACTTAATTATTGTTGATTGTGTCATTTTTGTAATTAAGGTTAATTCACACAAACATTTTTTTGACAGAATCTGTTAACACTGGTTGACGGTATCTATGGTTACGACGTAATCTGTCCATTGTTTAAAATTTAATGGCGGCAATTTTTTAAGTTGTTATAAACATTTTGTTGACTAATTAAGTTTTTTGTTAACAAAATTACTGATAAAAAATAGCAGTAACTTATAAAAAACAAGCCAAAAATTTTAAAATTTTTAAAGTTATACAAACAGTATTTGCTAATTAAAAAAACCGGAAGCGAAATTTTGATATCTTTTCTTGTTCCCCAGAAGCTTCTAATGGACCACGAATGTGAAACACCCTGTATCTATATACTTAGTGCCTTTTGAAAAAATATTATAAAATGAATAAAAAATTTGGCTGTTCTTTTAAATCAAATGTAATAAAATGACAAAAATAATAATGTTGGTATCTATCGCTATTTATGTATAAAAGCAACTCCCCTTGCCCATTTCCCCGCAATGTACCGCCAAAACCTTCTGAATCAAGATGTATCCTTACTTTTATGATAAATTAATTACAATTCAATCAAACTTAGATAATTTTTATATAATTTTTAATTAATATGTTAAGCGTTAATCTAATCAGTTTATCTGAAAAATTTTAATAATTTACAACAAACAGTTTCATGTAAAAATTGATAATGGAACCTGTGTTTAAAAATTGTTAAACAAGAAAAATATTTTTGTGTAAACAAAATTTGGTATCAAAACAAACAAGCAATTAGGCAACAAACGTTATCACTGGCGAACCACCTACGATAAAAATTAATCGTAAACCTAATATTTTTTTGTGGGAAGGTTCACACAGTTTTTCTCGCACAAGGATCAACAAAACAACTAGTGAACAAAAACAACTAACAGTGTAGTGGCTAAATTTCGCGATCAAAGTGGCACCGACAGCTACAAGCATGTGGGGCAGTTCAGCCCAGTCCAAGAACAACATCTTGCGGCACCCCACCATGGACTCCAAGGGGTACATGGGGGCCAATAAAAAGTGGAACCCCCGTCCTGCATCGTGGGCCGCTCCTAACCCCAACTATCACGTGTTTCCCGACAGGAACCCCATGTACAGACAACCTGTTGCCTCAGTGAGTAAAACAGTTGAGGGATTGACAAAATTGGGAACATTTTCCTATATAGTCTTTCTTTAATAAATACATAAATAAATATTACCATAATATTTCAGTTACGAGTGTCTAGAGAAGTTATAAACGAGTTGCATACTATACTTTATCTACGACGAAGACAAAACAATTTTATTTGTTAAAACTTTGACATCTGTCAAGACTACGTTTTCTACGACAAATACTTAATATTATCTAAAAAATGATTTAAATTAAATATTTGTATAAAGCGACATCTATACGAAAATAAAGTACCCATCCAATTACGTCATATTTTCACCATTAACATTGCCCGTTATTATTTTAATTAAACTTAACAATTATTAATACTTTAAAATATTAAAAAATAACTTCAAAATATGATGTTACGCAAATATGTTTTACTTTTATTTTTTTAACTACTATAATTGCATAATATTATCACAAAGTATTAAACATTCTTACACGGAAAATATTAAAGGTACAAAAAGTGACAGTTGTATTTATTAGAATTCCTGTTAGAATTTCTATCTCGGGAATCTACAGGTGTTAAAATCTTAAATTTTTCTGTGTAGATCAAATTTATCCTTTTGAAAATAGACTAACAATCGATATAGAAGCAGTTTTTACAGTAAAAGAGAAGAGAATGTTTTATGGGCACTGTACGCAAACTTTGTAACGCTTTATCAGTTAAATCTAGTTAACTGCACTACTACGGCGAAATCAAAAGGTCAGTACAAACGTTCATAAAATCTTTTCAAATATTGGCGTCAAGATGCTACACTGAAAGAAATATATGTTTGTTTTAGCAATGTATGTGGTAGTCTATATATGAAACATAAAATATATTTACCTTAACCATTTTTATATTTAGTTTTAACATATTATGTTAAAACTAAATATAATATATGTTTGTTTTAGCAATGTATGTGGTAGTCCATATATGAACCACATACATTTGCTAAAACAAACATATATTTCTTTCAGTGTATTTAATACTTTTGTATTTTTGTATTGAGATAATAAAATAATTTTTACAATTAGTATTATTTAACAAGAAAGGCACTTTATTTTAACCATTGTAGGACATTTAACAATTGTCAACTAACTTCAGCCCGTGACTAAAAACCTGTTGATAACTTCAGCCCGTGACTAAATCGCCTAAAAGGTCACTTAGTGTCATGGAAACATGTACAATAATGTGCGTTTTAAAGGTGGAAGTAGAAAAAATAAATTCTATACATATATAGGTACATCTTTTATTACTATTATTAACAGTTATACACATGTGTACATTTTTTCCGCGATTTTTTTCCTGGACAATAGATGGGATATGCATACGTTAAATGTCTTCAGACACGTTCTCCATTATAAGGTAATAATAGTGCATCTGGTGAAAGTAAAAACACTTAAACGATGTATTGTTCTTTTATTTTTCAACAAATTAATTCACATGGAAACACGGATTTTCGATTGCCGCAAAACAACAAGATAAAAAATTATTAAACAATTTTTTTGCTTTGATTTTGATTAAAATACCGCCATACTACTTAATTTATTTATTTATTATTAATTTAATAGTAATTATTTTAAACTTATAGGTACCTTATATTATATGATTTGTCCATAGGCTTGATAGGTCAATGGGGCTTGTACCTATTATAAAAACCAATCTATAATCAGAAAAATAATTTTTTTTAAGTATTTTTGAAGATATTAAAAATTAACAAATTTTTCTGTTAAAAAAATTAAGCCGTTGCAGGCCTGTTTCGGTCTTCTTAGGCCTCATCAGTGCCGGATAGCCGCGGTGTGTGAGCACACTCAAAACACGCTGCCCAAGACCCTTATATAGGCGAACAGGTACAGCGACAGCGGTGAGATATAATCCGTCCACCGTCTATCGTCCAAACGGACGTGGCCCACAACTTATATAGGGTGTCCCATAATTAACGTGCAATACAGCAGATTCTACATACAAAAATAAGACAAAAATCCTATAAAAATAGGTCGAAAATTGCTTCATAACGGAGCTACGGCCCCCGAAAGAGGAGCCCCTAAAGATAGTTTTTATTTAAAATATACAAAACCGTCCAAGACTTATAGAAAATTGTTTACACACAAAAAAGGTCCTCTTGTTGATCTTCGATAATATTTACCATTTTCGCTTAAAATCGATTTGAAAATTACCTTTGTTAGTTATTTGTTCGCGTATGTGTTGAAATATCATTAAAATATGGTTTAATAAACAAATATAAATTTAATGCAAATGTAACGTGTGTACATGAATAAGTAAACTATCTTAATGCTAGGTTTTTTACAAAATGTGTCGAGGTCTCATCCAGCCTCTAAAATTTGTTATCTTAGGTAAAAGTGGGGTTCATCAATACTGAAACCCAGATATGGTCGTTTGCATGAAAAGCTTTCAAAATAAAAAATATTTGGTTTTAACATTGATTTTAACCATTAACAACCTTATTTGACATACAAATTTAGTCATGTTTAGGCAATATTTTTCTAGGCAGGTGACATTTTATGCAATGTAACCAGGGTTGTCAAATTCTTTCAAAAAAAAATAAAGTACATTTTAATTACAAAAATATTACAGTAAAACTATGCAAATTGTGAATTTGACGTGACCTAAGTATTGTTGATTGTGTCATTTTAGTAATTAAGGTAAATTGTCACAAACTTATTTATTTTTTTGACAGAATCTGGCAACAATTCTCAAAATTTTATTTTCTATCTTGAACAGTTTTGGAGATATTAAATAAAAACCATCATCACCCTTTCGGCTACTTTTGTACGTAGAATCTGCTTTTTTATTTGATTTTTAGATTTAGAAACTGCACTGTTCTTGATTGTTCAGAACAAATTTGTATGTATATATGATAGAATATTTGGTTAAATTTGCGCGTTATTTGTAGAAAGTTTAATGTCGAGTTTGAGAAAAATATTTCGTGCGCAAAAGATTCAACATATTTTAAGAATTTTTCACGCATACTTCAAGCTTTTCTAGTGGCATTTAAAATTGTAAAATACCTAAATTGTTTGTTTTAAAAATTAAGACAACATACTTGTGTTGTTATGAACAGTTGTTATCTAATTGAAATGTTTCGATTGCTTTCCTTCTTTCCTTATGCAATTTGCATACAATTCTTTTTTGATTGCTTGAACGGCCATAACAGTTACTGTTAATTGAATTTCGGAACTCCTGATCGATATCTAGGTTAACATATTACCACAAAAGGTTTGAATTCATATTTTTAAACTCTTCCTTTTTTTCCACAGAAAGTCGACCCGGAATTAATTTTCACCAAGCAGGAACGGATAGGCAAAGGTTCCTTCGGCGAGGTGTTCAAGGGCATCGACAAAAGGACGACACAGGTCGTCGCCATCAAAATAATCGACTTGGAAGAGGCCGAAGATGAAATCGAGGACATCCAGCAGGAAATCATGGTCCTGTCGCAGTGCGACAGTCCCTTCGTTACCAAGTACTTTGGATCCTACCTCAAGGTAAGAAATTTTCTTTGAATAAAATCTAGATTGTAGTACACAGAAAAAAATCTAACATAGTACCAAGAACAGCGCTGTCATTGAATGCATTAAAATTGAAGCAATCTAAATTGTTATTTGCTCAATTAATTATTATTAAACCAAAATAGGGAAATATTTTGCCTAAATGTCAAATAATTTATTGCGTTAAATGTATACATAGTATACATACAATAGTAACGTTATTAAATAAATCAAATTAGTATTTAATGAAATAACATTCTACCATTCTAACAAATAAATATCAATATGAATATCAATAGATTTAGGAGCGATAACTTTTGTTGTTAATTTAAAAACAGTAAACGATTATAAACCAAGGGCTAACTACCTATTGGTATTATAGGAACTGTTATTCAGGAATACGGATTACAAGATCCCATTGGTTTAATGGCTCACCCATTCATGCTATGCTAGCGTTTTTTCTGTGTAGAGTCTACTTAAAAGAAATTTACAAAGTTTTAAAAAGATTAACCCTCTAGTCTCAGAGTAAAACATTATTAAAGTTGCTAAGACTACACGGGATGTTATCGTTTATTATTGCCTAATTCTGTTGTGAATGTTGACAAAAATTAATATACGAGAAAAATCATCGATATCTTATTGTCATGTTAATTAAAAACGTCTTTAATTAATGCATATCTTTTAACGTGACGCAAAAGTAATGATTTTTATTGAAAAATTAATGATTTTTTTGCATTTAACATTCTGTATGTTTTCTTTTGTTTTTTTTTTGTTTTTTTCACAATTTATTTTTAGATTTTAAATAACACTGCATATAGAACTGTCACTGCCACTGTCAAAAGCGAATAGCGTTGCCATAGAAACCCACTATCAACAACTCGCAATATTTGTGTGGCTTTTGTATTAAAATAAAAAATAATTATAAAATCTGTTAGAAAATTAGCGGTTGTTTTAAATCAAATGTAATAAAATGACAACGTAAATTTTGTTTTTGCAAGTTGGCAATGTACTGCACGAACCTCCTTAATGTCAAATCATACGTATAGAACCACAGTACACAATAACTGTTCATAGTAACAGTAGTGAGATGTGTTGGGTTGCACTCACGTTACACTTCGGTGTGGAACGTAGTTGATTAGTATTGATTTGAAAACAAACACTAAATATTTATCAAAAAATACATAGTTAGTATTTAGTAGTAGTCAGTAGATAATATGTATTGGTTCTGTCTCTAACAAAAAACCAATACGTCCCAAATAAATGTTATGACCGCCCTTAATGGGCGTAAAAAAAATCTAATTCTAATAGTGATACAGAAAGTAAATACAAATTTATAGAAAGTTAAAAAAGTAACAATGTTTCTTAGTAAAAATGGTAATTCATAAAAATTACAGTTATAATTTCGGTGCCCTCACAAATCGACTTTTGAATAGATGCAATAAACACATAAATAACAATAAAACCTATCCCTTGCGATTTTTATGATGGTTTAGAAATGGTTAACACGTATAGGCCTTAAAAATTTGACCCTATCCTTTGAAATTTTCAAATAATATAGAGCAATATTTTTAAGTCTGCTAGTTATTGCACTTAACTTCTAAGAAATATAAAATAACCTAAATTAATATGAGTTCCCGTAATCTTGGACCTAACAAGATGGATGACTTGCACTTTAAACCACTTGTTCTGCGGAATCACAGTTACTTCAATTTAAGACAAATATCAAAATCTACATGCTTCGACATTAAATTTTGCTCACACCTTTGCAGCAAGGAAAAAACAGGAAAACCAATAAATATTAATGCGCACACAAACGCTATTTATGACCGATTCAAGTATGCCGGGTGCCCATATGAATATAATGAATTGCATCGAGCCAAAGAGTAATTACATTATGCCGTTTAGAAAGCAGTTTCTAATAACAATCTAAATTATCTCATTAATAATTATCGCTCTCGTGGAATTTATTTTGCATAATTTATTTATTGTTGCATCTAACAAATGGATTGTAAACACTGAAAAAAATAATAGGGCCAAGAGTTATGTTTCTTAATCTAAATCAGAAACTATCTTTACATAATTTTTTTAAAGTTACCTGAGGGGAGAGATTAAGAATATTACAATATTAACTTAAATCAAGAGCAAGCGATTTCTTGGTACAAGAACCAAACATATTTCTTCGGAAGATATTTCTCTTTTGAAACGTTTTTAGCGCATTTTAACAAGAAAACTGCATCTGTTAATTGAAAAGCTTTCTAAGAAAGAAAATTTGTCTTGCTACAAAAGCATATACTATTGACCTATCACAACACAACACAACCGGCAAAATGTATAATAGAATTATTATATTATATCATTGCCCCTAGAAAATGGCGAATTGCAAGTTGCAATGATACAAAACGTACTAAACACGTGTACCGCAAAGTTTGCGGTACACGTGTTTAACGGTGTGCGCATTTTGCATCCCCTCCCATATATCAGAAGCTACCAGATTTTGTTAGAAAATTGACATGCTATTGGGAAAATTGTGATGTATCTTGAATGAATTGCGTAAATATAAATAATTTTTATAGCTTTTGAACAAAAACACTTTGCACTTGGTTGAAAGAAGAAACATTCAAAAGATTTTGTATTTTTTCCACTAAAAACTTTTTTCTTCAAGCAATAAATACTCTTTTATGCTAAAGTATTGTTTCTTGTCGCTAATAATTATTTATCAAGAGACTTTAGTTTAAGGGCACTTTTTTGTTCAGTGAATCCATGGTAGGTTATAGGGTTGGGACTTGATGTCGAAAATCAGTGTGTTACCACTTTTATTATGGAGATTAGTCACTAAAAACAACCATTCCGATTGTTGCTATACATTTTTCCTTAAAAATGACTGAAAATCGCTCTTATAGACTATACACCGATTCATTCGTAATTCTTGACACATCTGCCGTCCCGCGCTCTCTTTAAGGTCATCGATGCGTTTTGAATTTTGCCTTTTTTAAAACGCTGTAGTGTTGGATTCCAAACATGCAATATAAAACTGAATGTCTCAACCCCATTGGAGACATTTGTTTAAAACAATGCTTAAAGTAAGTTAAGAGATTAAGGTAATTTTACATTGATCAAACTTCGACAAACTTGTACAATCTTGCAAATATGCATATTGTTAATCTACTACCATTACAGTGATCTTTTAAATACCTTTTAATCGTCAAAATAAAGAGACTAGATTTTTGTGTTCGTCGTAGAAAACGTATGCAACTCGTCTTTCAGTTTGCTCATTTTACTATCGATTAGCCACGTAGTGTGCCAACTGTAGACACACAATTAAAAACGTTTAAATAACCGTTCGGGTATCAAAATTCAGACGCTGCAGTTGGTGTCGTTCGCGTGGAATTTTCAATTGTTTCGCCGTGCCCGCGATGACGTGGCTCACACACGCCAATAAACAAACGAACTGCACCGTCAGCCATTTGTTCCGTTTCCAATCGGCCGCAGACTAATGATTACCGTGTTTTGTAGTCGAAATTATTGTAGCAACGTAATTTTTTCTTTCTTTCTTCGAGCAATTACTCGATTCGAGAATCACGACTTCGTTCAAATGAAAATGTCACTGGGTTAAGACGAGACGAAGACAAATTGTCGAGATAATAGACCGACGAATTGCGTTGCGTGGTCTATGGACGGGACGAGAAAGTGATCGACAATTATTTTGTCTTTTATTTCAGCCAAATATTCGCTTTCTCCATTATGTTTGTTTTTCATCTCGGTTGGATTCGTTTTTAAAGTCACTTGGTCTGATTGTTTTTTTGGTCTCCGGCAATATTCTTTTAATTATAGAGGTTTAATAAACATTTTAGACAGCACAAAACTCATAGTTCCTATTAGAAACTTCCTACCGAGCATTTTTACTGTCGAATGGACGTCATGGACATGCGCAATACCCCAGTGCCCTTTTGTAAAATAATACTACATTATTTTATTGTCTCAATACAAAATAAAAAAGTATTAAATAGTTTCTCAACGCCAATATTTGAAAAGTTTATATAAACTTGTACTGACCTTTTAATTTCGCGGACAGTAAACTAGATTTAACTTAATTTCGGGTGGAGTGCCAATAAAACATTTTCTTTACTTTCAATGTGAAAAACTGCTTCTATATCGGATGAAACGGTCCATTTTCAAGAAATATGTACATTTGGATTTATACATAAAAATTTTCAAGTGGGTTACTCTATTGTTTTATAGATGTCGCTTTATACAAATATTTAATTTAAATCATTTTTAGATAATAAGTAGTATTTGTCGGAGAAAAAGTATAGCATGCAACTAGTTTATAAACTTTTCTAGACACTTAATTAAGAACTTGCTCGCAAGCTCGCTCGTGCTTCGTGTCTAAAATGGCGTTTAAAAAACTTTATACATAATATACTATTTATATAATTACGATGTTTTTTGTAATTTGTATTATTTTTTAACCCTTTTTTTGTTTTTAAGGAGAATCAAAACCAAAATATTTCTAATTTAATATGATTTGTTTTTTATTATGGCCATTAATTTTTTACTTTTACTTAACATAATGGAGTTGGGACATGATGTCGAAAATCAGTCTGAAACCACTTCTATTATACATATTAGTCACTAAAAACTACAATATCGTTTAAAAAGTTACTTCGAGAATCGATTTTTTGACATTAATAAAACCATTAAGGGCGTATTTTAGTGTAAAGTTAAAGAAATTATTTTTAAAATTATAAGTTCGCACCTCAAGTATGTACTTTATCTCGATTTTTAAACGATTTAAAATTTTAAATACTTTTAAAGAACATAACCCAAATACCATGCTAGAAACAGATGTTGGATTTACTCGTAATTCTTGACACATCTGTTATAACATCGTGACGTCACTCCATATCTTTGAGGTCATTTTAAATCTTGGGTTTTTCAAAACGCTGCGCGCTGCACAGATTGTTTCAGAAACCTTGTTTACGAAAAAATCTACAAAA